AGGCAACATTTGAGGTGGGTCCGAAGGACAACTAATGAAGACACAAATAGCTGGTATTCTGCGTGTGCTCACAGTAGGTCAGGTGCTGGGTATGCTGAGCATTTCCACATGGGGGTAGGGACTGTTGTCCCCATTACATGGATGAGGGAATGGGGGCCCAGGGAGGGTAGATGGCTTGCTCAAAGTCACCGTGCTTGTAAGCGGGGCCCAGGCTGGCCCAGGGGTCTGAGCCCACTGGATGAGTTTACCAGGTAGAGAATAGAGGAACAGAAAGAAGAGGACAGTGTGACCCGACCCTCTGGGATAGGGGGAGGGGGCCAGTGTCCCCACACCAGAAAGTTGGGGCAGGCACAGTAGGACAAGGGCAAGATGGGAGCCATGACCACCAGCAAGGCCTGTGCCTCCTGGAACCCCAGGCTCTGTATCTGTACAGTGGGGATAAGAAAGTCTGCTATCTTCATCCCCATTTCACAGATGAGGAAACAGATTAGACCAAGGCTGTCCGACTGCAGAGGCCACGTGCCAAGCCACGACACGGTGGCTCTGCTGGAGCAGACGAGATGTGAGAGTTCGCTGCAAACCCTCCTCTCGGTCTCAGGGGTCCCAGAAGACGGTCCTGTGTTCCAGTTCAGAAATTCAGTCTCTTAAAGACCCTAGGGACAATTTCATTCATGCATTTGGGGGACAACTTGCAAATAGAGAAACTGAGCCCAGAAAAGAGGGAAGTGACTTGTTCAAGGTCACACAACGAGCTGGGGGTAGAGATTCATCTAGAGTGCAGGTCACCTGACACTTGGTCCTGTGTTCTTTCTCCATCCCCAAATCCACTCCTCACAAATGACCCCTCCCCACGCCTCCATGACAGCAATCTCTGCCGGTCCTGAAAAGTTTGTATGGACCAGGCACTTCACCTTTCTTTATCTCTGGTCCTCCAAACCACCCTATGGAGTGTTATCCAGGGCAGCCATAAGGTCTAGAAGCAGAGGCAAATACACAAACATAATATATAGTTTATTGCTAGTACATTACAAAACATGTAAAATAATAACGCATTCAGACTCTAAGGCCACTCTATAAGTTATACAGTCCTATTTTACAGATGAGAAAACTGAGGTGCAGAGATGTGAAAAGTCTGCCTCAGGGACTCAGAGCTAGGAAGTGACAGGGTAAGGATTAGTATTTAGGCATCTCCACTCCAAAGCTGGGCTGTCTTGTCCCCACCCCAAGCTGCTGTCAGGTAAGAGATGAGAGGGCCTGCAAAGGAGGCGAGGAGTGATGACGGGGGGCTCTGATCCCCATGATGAGGGCTGTGACAGTTACCATAGTGGCTAAGCGCACGGCCCCTGCATCAGGCTGCCTGGGTTTGAATCCTGTTTTGCCACTTCTTAGCTCCGTGCCCTGAGGTCCTCTCTGAACCTCAGTTTCCTCATCTGTATAATTGAGATGGTAATAATGTGCTCACCTCCTTGGGTTGTTGGAAGGGTTGAATTAACAGAGTGTGTGACACATAGCAAGCACCGTGAAGTGTTGCCTTGCACTCGCTGGCATCTCATATGGCATTTTGCAGTGACTGCCTCATGTGGGTTCTGGAGCTGGCCACCAGGACTCTGCCACTTGCTGGCAGGGTGGTCCAGAGCTCAGAGGGAGAGTTAAGGTGAGGCTCATGAAGTTTAAGCCTCAGGTTTCTCCTTTGCATGACCTTGTACCTGATTTTATATTCATAATTTTATATTATTTTTCTTAGAAACATCGCCAAATACTGTATGAGCTCTACTGACATCCTGCAAAACATGGATCTGCACCTGTGTGTGCAATGCTTTTAGCCTGTGTCTCAGTTTTCCCGTCTGTTAAGTGGGGAGAGTGTTGTTGTGCTGATAAATGAATTAATGTATAGAATGCTTTAACAGCACCTGGCACGTGGTAAATACCCAGTAACTGTTGGCCTCTTGAGAAAATCTCCAGCTGGTAACTATCTGAGTGCTCGTAAATGTGCTAAATGCTTTACGTTGGTCACATGATTTAATTATGTGTTGTCTTCGCAACAACCCCTCCCATTTTACAGGTGAGAAAACTGAGGCTTGGAGAGGCAAGGTCACAGAGCTTGGGAGACCAACGGGTCTGACTCCAGAGCCGAGCCCCTGACCCCTGCCCTGACCACCTCCCTGTTTATGAGGGCCTCCTGCCCCTGCCCCTGGCAGCTGAACCCCGGGGACTCAGGCCAGACCTCAGGCAGGCCCTGTCTGCCGGGCCCTGTCACCTGAAGGTGGCCCATGAGGCCCCCGCTGGGGAAGAGAGCCCCCAAGTCCAGCTGGGCCTGGGCCCTGCCACCCCTAGCACCCTCGTCCCTCCTGCCCCCTAGAGCTTCCTCTTGAGCCCCTGTCACCAGAGGCTCTGGCCCAGGTGGGGCGGGGGCCAACGGGTGACAATGACCGATTTAGAAAGTAAAGTTGCTTCTCAAACAAATAAGAAAGAAGAGGAAAGAAAGAAATGGCCTGCCCGCTTCCTGCCCCACTCTCTCTCCCGGCACCTGGGGCCCAGCTGCGAGGTTTCCACAGCCTGTTTGTTCATCCTGCCTCGAGGAGCCTCTTCTTAAAGTCCCTGGCCTCCTCCCTACGGGTGGCGGGATGATTGTGGAGCCAATGGAAATAAGCACCCTCCATGATTGTTGTATTGTTATTGTCTCGAGGATTGTTTGTGACAACAATACCAATAATCCTCACGATCTGGGTTTCCTGCAGTTGGAGAGGAGAGGGTTACCAGCTTCGACTTGGGGGTGGCCGTCCTGGCTCTGCGGTGAGAAGGACTGGAGAGGTCACTGCTCCTCTCTGGGCCTCAGTTTCCTTGTCTGCAAAATGGAGATGGGGGTGTGGTGGGGGCTGGAGGAGGCAAGGATGAGCGTGTAAAGCACAGTGCACAGCCCGGGGGCAGCTGCTCAGCCAGTTACTGTGAAAGCCGGGATCGTGCAGGAACGCAGTTTTCAGGGCCTCCTCAGATGTGGTTGGCAAGCTCAGTGGGCTCGGAGGCAGAATAATCACAAGCCCTGAGTGTGTTCTAGCTGCTGTTTTAAGTATTTTACAAATAATAGCTCATTTCATCCCTGCATGACCTAATGAAAGAGATACACGGACATCTCTGTTTTACAGACGAGGAAACTAAGACAGAAAAGTGACTTGCTCAAGGTCGTCACGTCTGGGGGGTGCAGAATCAGGATGAACCCAGCCTGTCTGGGGCCAGAATCACGCTCTGAGCTGCATACACTCCCCCTGGGGCGCAGGTCTGACTATGGAGGGTCTGGTTTGCTGTGTGACCATGGACATGTCCTTTACCTTCTAAGCCTCAGTTCTTGATCTGCAAAGTGAGCAGCCGATAATACCTGCTACAGACAAACAATCCTAAGGGAGAGTCGTGGTCAGATTTAGTGACAACGTAGAGAAAGACAATGAATGAACAGACCAGGGACTCAGGAAGCAGTGGCTGTCACTGCTGTAATTATTATTAGTTTTAGAGTCCCAGCCAAGAGCCAGCTGAGAGGATGCTGAGGGCTCTGCCCGGCTCTGAAAATCTAAATGTTGTGGTTGCAGCTGGGGAGTGACTCCAGGAGGCACCTGGGGAGAGGTGGCTCCACCCATTGGGGCTAAAAAAATCCCTGAGGCTGCCACCACCAGTCACCTGCCCCAATTAATGGCAAACTCTCCAACCCTGCTTCCCCCCACCCCAACCCCCCACCCCCCGCCCTGCCATGAGCTGTGTGGCCCTGGAGAGATCCCTCTACCTCTCTGAGACAGGAAAAGGACACAATCTTGCAGAATTCTGTCGGATTAGAGATGATGTAGATAAAGAGCTCAGCATAGTGCCTGACACAGAGTCCCGAAGACCCAGTGAGAACCTATTTGGGGGCCTACCCGTGTCCCCGTCCCAGCTGTGCCATTTCCTGTTATGCGACCTTGGGCAGGTTACTTGGACTCTCTGAGCCTGGAAAAGCGATTGGCACAGCACCTGACGTGCAGTAGTCGCTTCACTGATGATTGCGGCTGTGACCGTTTCTTGCACTTTACGAGGATGCCCAGATGCCCCCGAAGATCCTGGGGTGGGTAGCGTTCTCTCTAGTGCTGGATTTCTCTGCCCCTCCAGAACCCTCCCCCTGCCCACCCTTCTCCATCCTGATCTGTGCCTGGTACGTGACCTTTGTTGGTGGTATTAATGGCCTCCTTTGCCCTCTAGCTTCTGGTTGGGTGGGGCCGGAGGGCAGAAGGCAGATGGATAGTGGAGACCACATATTTGTTCCCCCAGCCCCTTCCTGCAGGGCTGGGATAGGCTGGTGGTGTCCCTCACCCGAAGGCCATAGCTCCTGTCAGGCGGCCCTTGCATACATCTCTGACTATGGGTCCCTGTAACCTCTCCCTCCCCACCCTTCAGGCCATGGTTGGTGACAGCTCCCCATTGTTGCCAGCCCTGGCATGCTGCTCCATCCCTCCTGGTTTCTCTAAATCCTGCCCACTAAATCCTCCAAATCTTTGTGAATGGTCCCTTAATTAAACTCTTGAAATCACCCAGTTCGAGTGCACCATCTTTTTCCTGCCAGGGCGCTGATCATAGTTTAAATGTGACATGCACCCTGTTGTATTCACCTAGGGTTCCAGGTAGGGTAGAACAATAAAAATTCACACTGCTTTCATATACGTATATTTATCTATTTGCTTAACTTTTGCTGTGTATCTGCTGTGTGCCAGCCTCTGTGCAGGGAGCCGGGAGCAGAGATGACTAAGATCCAGTCTCTGACCTCAAGGAGCTCATGGGCTAGTCGGGGAGACAGACCCCCAAACAGACAACCGCGGTATTTGCTAAAAGCCGTAATGGAGGCATGTGCGTCCTGTGTCGAAGCAGAAGAGGACCCGTCCAGCTCTGGGAGGGGCTGGGGAGGCTGCACGTGGAAGGGCTTTTGAGCAGCATCTTTAAAAAAATGTTAATAATGTATTTTATTGAACCCAATATTTCAAAATATCAACATGTAATATTATCAATTAAAATTGATATAAAAATTCTTGAGATTTTTTACCTTTTTTTCTAAGTCTTTAAAGTCTGGTGTGTATTTTACACTATGGCACAGCTCAGTTCAGCCTGGCCGCATTTCAAGTGCTTCCTGGCCACATACGGCTAGCGGATGAGCAGCATCTCATTTAAATGGTGCCCTTTCTCTCATTTTACAGATGAGGAAGCAGACACTCAGAGGAGTAAAGTCACTTGCCCAAGGTCACGGTTACTCCCTGGTGGGGTGGGATTTGAAACCCATCTGTGTAGCTCCAAAGCCTGTTTCTTCCTGCTGCCCTGTTGTCCCCGGGGCAACCCTTTCTCCCCAGAGCGCAGCAGCTGATGAGGGCTGCAAAGTCAAAACTTCAACCGAGGTCCTCTGACCCCAAATCCTGTAATGTCTCTACCTCAACGGATCCTGTGGTACAGATAGTGGGAAGCTAGCAACCCTCCAAAATGGTTCTGACCCCTATTCTTCTGGGGTCCCTGAGATGCATGTGGGTAAGGCGGCAGAAAGGAACTGGGGACTGCTGGTAAGTTGTTCAATTCTTCTTTGCGGGGAGGGAGTTGCTAATGAGTGGAAGGCGCAGGCCGTACTGGGCGAGAGGCAGTAGTGGTAACTGGACCAGGCACTGAAAAATAGCCAGCAGGTCATCTTGGCATCTTTGCCAATGCCATAGTCGGTGACCCATCCCTTGCCCATCATCTGGGTCATCCAGAAACGCCCACTCCCAGAGCCTAGCGGAGTACATAGAGGTCACAGTGAATCAGTCGCTATCATCTTCACACGGATGCTTGGGAAATGAAAATGGGATGATAAACGTAAGACATTCTGATGGGCAGCTTACCCTGGGCTCTCATGTGGACAGAGTCATGGGAAGATTCTCAGAGCCACATCCCTGCTGTAGAGTGGACACCAGAGCCATGCACTAATGGAGGCCAGGGGAGTTCCCTGGCAAGCCCAGAGGGTGTGTTTGCTGACTCCAGAGATGTGTGATGCTAAAAATAATGATCGGTAGCTGAGTATTCCCAATCTATTTAATATTCATCAATTATCCAGTCACTTGGAAGCATCCATCTATCCATTCATGCCCCTGGATGCCCATCCATGCCTCCCTCCCTCAGTTCCTTCACTCCTTCATCCACCCATTCATTCATTTTTCCCCTGTCCTGTCATCTGCTTGTCTATCACCACCGACTCTGCACTTAATCCTGTGCTGGATGCTTGACGTGCAACAGTGAACAAGACTCAGATCTTCCTCCAAACCTGCTGAGGTGGACAGACACTTAGTCTAAGCGAGGGAGGAAAGTGTGTTCCAGGGGGTGCAGTGGGGGCTCCGAGGCGGAAATGCCCCACTGTGTCTGAGAGAGTCAGGGAAGCCTGCCCGGGGAAGGGCCACCCAAGTTGGTCTTGAAAGAGGAAAAGGGGCTTGTGAAGCCAGAAGAAGGAAGCCTGGCCGATGAGATGGGCAGTGATGTGGACTGGCCAGTGACACAAAAGAACCTGCGGCAGGAGCCGGGGGGAGGAAAGGAAGGCGGACTGGCCTCAAGCCAAGATTTCACCCCAGGTCTCAGAAGGGGCTGGAAAATGGTGACAAGTCAGCAGTCTGCCCTGCCTTAGCTGGCCTCGCCTTCTCTTAGTGTAGCACACGTTCTGGGATGTCAGACCTGGAAGACCAAAAGATCACCCAAGTTAGTCTCCTTATTGTCAGTCAGGGAAACTGAGGCTTAGAGAGGAGAAAAGATAGGCCAAAGTCACATAGAGGGTTAGGGGTTCCCCAAACCCAGGTCTCTAACTCCAGTGCATTCTAGTTCTTTCCACTTAATCTAGGCCCCAACTATCCCCCACTTAACAAACACCAGAGTCTAAAGACTTGCAACCCCTCAGTGCCTGGCACAGTGCTGGGCCCAGAGAAGGACACCTTCCCTGTTGCCACTGGGCTGCTGGCCACAATAATCAGATTGATAGAGCTCATTCGTGCTCTTTCCACTGTCCCATTTAATTCCCACAACCATCCCAGGGGACTGGAATTACTACTCTTTTTTACAGATGGGGGAAGGAGGCTCAGAGAGGAGAAGGGGTTTGCCCAGAGTCACACAGCTCAAATGCAGCAGAGGAGCATCCTGACTCCCCGTCCTGTATCTGATCTGAGACACCTCACACAGCCTTGAATGTTCTGGCCCCCTGCTGACCCTGTGCTGTTGAAGTCGGGGCCTGTGGACAGGTAGGTTCAGTGGGGACAGGAATCAAAACAGGGTGGGGGGTTGGGGGGGAGGACCCTGGAAAGGAAACCTTGAAGATTGTTTTCACCTGTAACCTGCTCTGCCCCACCCAGCAATGGAAAATGTGTGTCAGAGGAAGCTGCTGCTGGGGACGACGTAGGTATGCGTGGGTGGGCACGTGGAGGGGCACCATGGGAGACAGGATGTGCTGGGGTTGGGGGGCAAGGTCAGGGGTGCTGGAGCGGGGTTCAGGTTCTGCCCCCTGCACCCTGCCCGCTGCCTTCTTCTCTCTGGTTCTCACTTTCTTTCTTATGTTCTCAGAACTAACAGTAAGACTTTCACTTCCAGAAGGATGGGCAGACTGTCCTACAAAAGCTGTCCCCAGGCTCTGCCTCCCAGATCTCCTTGGCCACTGCCAAGTCACTGCTCAATAGTTCATTCAACAGCATTAACTGTGTGCTCCGACGCAGGACAGCCCTTCCCTACTCGGAGAGGCACACAATCTGATGGAGACAGACACATGATAAGACAGGTGCAATACCTGGGGACACAGTCCAGAGGGGGCTGGGCAGTGTCAGGGGGGCTTACTGGAGGGCAGCACATCAGGGAGGCAATAATGACCACTCTTCTGTGTGCTTACTATGAGCCAGATTAAAGGGCTAAGCGCTTTAAAAGTTTTTATACCTTCCCATCCTCGAACAACCCTGTGAGAGAGAAACTGTTGGTATGCCCATTTTCCAGGTGAGGAAGCTGAGGCATTGAGGTGTGAGAGGTCTCACTGCTAGATGCTGGGAAACGGCAGATCCAGGATTTGAAACGAGGCAGTCTGCTCTCAACGGCTCCACCAAGGAAAAGGAAGAGGGAGCAGGTGCTGGGGGCAGGAAGGGAGATGTGGAGGGAGGGACAGGAGGAGATGGTGTTGGCTGAGGGAGGAGGGGCCGGTGCTGGGTGCTGGGGCTGGGGAGCAGCCAGGGCCCCAGCAGGAAGTCCTGCAAAATATGGGGGACTATGGACAAGTTTTGGGCAAGGGAGTGACATGGACATGCTTGTTCTAGAAAGGTACCCTCCTTTAAAGTGGTGATCACAAGTGAAATGTGATTTTATTTCAATGTTTTATTTTTATTGGTTTCCTAGGGCTACTGTCACAAAGTACTGCAAGCCAGGTGGCTTAAGATAACAGAAATTTATCTTCTGACGGTTCTGGAGGTTAGAGGATGGGAATCCAGGTGTCGACAGGGCCATGTTGGCCAAGACTCTGGGTGGCATCCTCTCGCCTCTCCCAGCTTCTGGTGGTGGCCGTCCGGCCTTGGTGGTCCTTGGTTTTCAGCCACATCCCTCCCACCTCTGCCTCTGTCATCACTCGGCTCCTCCTTGTGTGTCTCTCCTTGGTGTCTCTCCTTGGTGGAGCCGTTGAGAGCAGACTGCCTCGTTTCAAATCCTGGATCTGCCGTTTCCCAGCATCTAGCAGGGACACCAGTCGTGTTGGATTAAGGGCCCCCCTACTGCCCTCGACCTCTTCACTAGTTACATCTGTGATGATCTTCTTCCCAAATAAGGTCACATTCTGAGGTGCTAGGGGTTAGGACTTCAACATACCTTTTTAGGGGACACAATTCAACCCATAATAGATGTCATTAAAGTGCTCGTCATATAGATAAACCTCAAATCTGAAAAAATCCTATGCAGATCACTGGGCCCAGTTTGAGATTCAGAAAATATGGCCTCAGTGTATCCGTCCCCCACACTGATACTTTGCCCTAGTGAGCACTAAATAAATGTTTGAGAAATATTTAACTTGTGGTCCCCTAAGGCCTTCAGGTCTTTCTTTAACAAGTTAGAGAACTAGAATAAAAGTCCCCAGAGAACAAAGTCAAGCTGCCCTCTGTCCTGGATTCCTGGCAGGCGGCTGTGCCATGGACCTGGGTACCTCCTTCCCCTCCTGCCTGGACACCGGCTTGGGGAATAGTCATGAGAAGGATAGAGAGGAGAGGTCTCAGCTCCTCTCCTCCCTGGATTAAGCAGAACCCACTGTTCTCAGTCCTCTCCCTTGCTTCCCCATCCAAGCAGGCTCAGACTGCTCCATTCAGATGAGTGTCCATGCTCTGTCCCACCTCCTCGACCTGGTCAGGCCTTGTCTTTACCACTGGGACTATTCCCCTAGGCTTTCAACTGATGTCCCTGCCGCCAGCAGCCCATTGGGTCACCCTAAATGTGAATCTGATGACTGTTCTGACATAAAACCTTCCATGGCTCCCTATTGCTTGCAGAACAAAGTCCAGATTCCTTAGCCTAAGTTTCAGGCCTGTACAAGTTGGTCCCCAGGTAGCCATCCAGGCTTGTTTTTCACTATTTTCCCACATGTGCTCTATCCTACAGGCAGTGGAGTTTCCAGAATTTCCATTTAAAGAAACTGGGTGCGGGGTGCATTCTGGTCAGAAGGGGACACAGCACGAGGCTTGTCTTGCCGCTGTCTTTATAAGCAAGAACGCCTGAGCATGGCTGTGCTTTCCTCTTGTCTGCATCTGCTCCTTGGCATACGCCGTTCCCTCTACGTGGAACGCTCTCCACATCTCCATTTTTCAGCATCTGACCCAAAGGACATCCTCAGTCACATCACTGGAAGGGCCTCTCCCTGCTCCAGATACTGAGGATTCCGGCCGAGCTTCCTTACGAGTCTGATTCCAGTCCTCCTGGTGTTGACCAGAGGAGGCCCCTGCTCCCCTTAGAGCTGGGTTCCACCCCAGGCCTGCGGCTGAGTGGTAGGAAGAACAGGGTGGGAAAGTGCCAGAACAGAGACCTGGCTGTTCATCCACTTTGCCACAGTCGCGCTGCATGACCTTGGGCAAGTCACTTTCCCTCCATGGGCCTCCATTTCCTCTCTGTAGAGTGGGATGTGGGGAAAGACAAACAGGCAGGGTGAAAGCATGAGCTAAGTTTCTCTCTCTACCCTATGTCTGGCCAGACTTTGGTCCTGTGAACAGGAGCTGCTGGGGTCCTTTGGTTTTGTGTTAATTTGCATATATTTGCATATGTGCTATAAGAGGCACCGACTACATTTCATTCATAGAAAGAATTGACACTGTCCTCTAATTGATGTCCAGGGATGGAAAAGACTCACTGTTCATGGTTCCACCCAAATCTTAGCAGTCAGGAGTCTAGTAATTAACCCTCCAACCCCCTCCTTCTACAGATGACTAACTGAGGCTCAGAGAGGGAAAGTGATGAGCCCAAGGTCACATAGCGAGTGGGAGCACCGGGCTTCCTCCCAGGCTTCCCACTGTCTGCCAGGGAATTGCATGAGGCACCTCATTTCTCATTCCATGCAGGGTGGGAGAAGGTGCAAGAAGGGGGGCTTGGTTTTCTTTTGAGGCCCTCTCTTCACCCCAGAATAACAAAACCTGCAGGCTTGGCGGCCTCCGCAACCACTACAGGAAACCAAATCGTAGTAGAAGGCAGATGGGAGTGGAAAATCCTCTCAGAGATGTTAGATCGTTGCTTTCACCTGTTCTAAAAATAACCCAGTTTATTAGAGATAGATAGATGACGAGATAACCCACAAGTTATTCCACAGAGGCCGGAGAGGAGAGAGTGCAGTTCTGTTAGAACAAAAGGGGCGTTGGGAGATGCTGCAGGGGACTGAAGGGCTGGCTGGACCCATCAAACTCAGGATTTGGCCAATGTCAAGAGAGGCAGCAAGACAGATGTGGAGGCAGACATGGAGGCTGCCTTCAAGGGATCCTGGTCTAAGGATAAGAAAAGTCACAACATAATTGCAAATTGGGACACATGCTATGAGGGAAACAGCGGTGCTGAGATAAAGACCAGGATGGGCAGGGAGGCCTCTGGAGGGAGGGGTTGTTTCAGCTGAGCCCTGGAGGGTGAGGAGGAGCCAGCCCAGCGAAGAAGAACGCAGGGCAGGGCACCTCCAGGAGTGAGACCAGCACATACAAAAGCCCGAAGGGGCCAGGAAGGAGCGTGGTGGTTCAAGAAAGGCCAGTACCAGGGGGAGAGAGGGAAGAGGTGTCCACTTGCAGAAGGAGGTTGGAAGGGGGCAAGGCCAGAGTGGAGCTGGCTTCGAGAACCTGCCCAGCCTGATGGATTTGATTCCCGGTCCCTGGGAAGCTGCGGAAGCCAGTTTCGAGTAGTGGAATCATGGGGGCACGGGCTGCCTCTTAGGAAGCTTGCTCTTGCCTGTTGTGTGGGATAATGCTGGGAGGGGCAAGCACGAGAAGACCAGTGAGGTACAGACATGGGCTCCAGGTAGAGTGCTGCTGGCCTGGACAAAGATGGGAAGGGAAATCAGAGAGCACCGAAGGGATTCAAAATATGTTTGGGAAATAAACATCACGGGAGCTGCAGACACACTGCATCCAGGTGGGGAGGAGGGTAGAGAGGAGGAGGGCACTGCAGCAGACACCCAGGTGTCTGGCCTGAGCACCTGGTGGGTGGCAGTGCCATTTCCCGAGGTGGGAAAACCTGCGGGCAGGAGGGGCAGCTGTGGGAACCCGGCTGGGCGCACGCTAGGTTGCAAAGTCTGCAGATTGCCAAGAGAATGTGCCAGGAGGCAGCTCCAGAGACCCCGGAGGTCTCGGGCCATCTGACGAAAGCAGACAGTTGGTCCTTCCATCATTAACGGAGTCTGAACAGTGAGCACAGGGAGACCAGAGCCCAGCTCTGCTTTGTTTTGCAGCTTCAGCATCGAGGGAGGTGCCTTGCACATAGTAGCTGCTCAACAAGGAGCTAGTGTATGAATGAAGCTGGGCCACCGGCTGAACGAGTTGGCTCACAGACATGGCGAGTGCTCAGTAAATACTTAAGGGACTCTGTGACTCCTCTTCTCTCACCCCCACATCCCGTCAGTCAATGATTCCTGAAGCTGTGACTTTCTCAGTGTTTCTCAAATTGGTCTCCTGCTCCATGCCAGCACCACTGCCCCAATTCAGACGCTCGGCATACAGCTCCATTGACGGTGACCTTTAACTGAGTACCTACTATGTGCCGGGCCCTTTATGAGCATTATTCTCATTTAACCTTCAGAACAACACACAGGGACAGCCCCCTTCCCCCTTTCACTACCCGTGGTGCCAACACACCACCCTCCCAGGTCACCTCACTGCCTTCAGGCTCCGTGCTTCCAATCCATCCGCCGTACTTCAACCAGGGTAGCGTGAGAAAAACCAAAATCTGATCTGACCCTCCTCCACTTCCAACCGTCTCCTCATCCACAGGATCCTGACCAACACCTTAAGTGGGCCGCCAGGCCTGAGTCCCAGCTCGGCCTCGTCTCCCGCCGTGCAGCGTCTGAGTCTGCACTTGCAGTTCCCAGGAGTGCCCAACACTGCTTCTGTGCTCCATGCCTTTGCTCATGCTGTGCCCTCTGCCAGGAGTGCCCTTCCTGCTACCGGTTCATTCACACTCGCCATTTAAGGCTCAGCTCTTCAGTCTTCCTCGACTCCTATACCAGCTGGATTGGGGGCCCCTCACACCACCTGCTCCCCACTCCGTGTTGACTTCATCAGTAAATGAGAACTTTTTCTTCATATGATAATTTCTCTTTTAATATACAGAATCATTTCCAACTCATTTGGTCTGGTGGTTCCTCAGTCACAATTTAACATGAAACAACTGGGCAGCTTTTCCTGGATAGTCCTGGGTGAGAGCAGTCGTCAATGCTTCCAGTCTTTCCTTGGGTTAGCTTTGATCGCAAATGAGATGCTACCTCCGGAGAAGAGGTATGAGCCAGTAGAATGGGGCGCACAGGTCCTCAACCCTTACAAACCCCGGGATGTATTAGGAGAAGAAGGCCCCAGTATTCTCACCCAGCGCATTTCGATCCTGGTCTTCCCTCTCTTTTGGGGTTAAGAGGTTCCTCGAGTTTTCTCATTCTCACCCAGGCCAGAGGGCTCCCTCACGGGCAGGGGTCCACGCCTACATGGCCAACGCATGGACTGGCCCAGCCAGCCCCTTACTGCGGTGTGGACAAGCTGGTGCCCTTGCAAGAGGCTCAGTCTCTTGAGGAGAGAGCTCACCACCGCCACATGGAAACGCATCCCGCCGCCTGGCGGGACCGCGTGGCTGCCACTCTCATTGCACAGCTCCAGCACCTCGGGGTCCAAGGCCTGCTCCAGCTTTGTGCGGATGGCAGCCTTGGTGGGACTGATGTTCCCCAATCCCGTGCTGCCCTGAGACAGGCATGGTCACCATGGAGAACAGATGCCCAGCCTGCTGCCCACTCAGCATTGGCTTCCGTTTGGCCTTGCCTACCGCAGTGCTGCTCAGGGACGGGGCTCCTGACGTTCTGGGTGAAATCCAGTCCCTCTAATAATAATAACTTTCATTTATTGAGACATTGCCTGACAGGTGTTGTACTAAGTGCTTTACAAGTATTAAATAATTTAATCCTCACAACAATCTTATCAGGTGGGTAATTATTCCCCCCATTTTACAGATTGAGGAAACGGAGGCACAGAGAGTCCAAGTGACTCGCTTACAGCCACACAGCCAGAAAGTGGCAGAGCTGGGATATGAACCCAGGCAGGCTGGCTCCAGAGCCACACTCTTGGCTGATATGTTCAAATGCTTCAACCAATTGCATGATGCATATCTGTTTGCTTGTCTCTCCCCTAAGAACAAAAACCAAGTGTCATTGCTCCTATCTTCAACACTGGCACAGCAGCTGGCACACAGTAGGTGCTCGATCAACCCTCCCTTAACAGGAGCCAGTTTGTGACCTTCCTACCTTGGGTAGGAGAGCCCAAGGGGAGAAAAGACTTTTCATTTTACAGCATTTTGTAACCATCTATCCTACATGATCACATTCATTTTCTCAACACTGCTGGGCATGGGTTATTACACCCACCTGTCAAGTGATGAAACTGAGGCTCAGAGAGCTTAAGAAATTTGCCTAACTCACCCAGCTAAGAGTTGGTGGAGATGGTACATAAACCCAGGACTCCTGACTCCCAGCCCAGTGCTCATTCCACAGTCAGAAATGGGGCCGAGGAAGATGTTGCTGAACCCAAACCCAGTCCAAGGGGCACAGAGGCCCTGCCGGGTCAGGGGTCATTAATCACCCCCTCCCTCCCCCAGTGTGGGGGAGGCTTTGGGGACAGAGGGTTGCTTCCCGTCCTCCCAACCCTCAGGGTCTGACACCTCTTCAGGGCAGGAAACTCTTCCTTGTCACAAAGCTCTATCCCCCCCTCCCGCCTGCCCCCCATCCCAGGCCACGCCCCTCCCCGTCCCCCTCGAGGGTCCTGGTAAAAGCATCCGCTTGTCAGTGTAAATCTGCAGGGTTCAGAGCAGCAGCTGGAGATGGATGGGCAGGAAGCAGTAACAATGGATGAAAGACCCTCTGTGCCCAGGTGGGTGGGGGAGGGAGAGGCAGGAAACACAACCTCGTCCCATGGAGGCCAGGAGCTTCTGGCTGGCCGGAGGCCTCGGATGCCAGAACCTGCGGGGTTTATTTGGATTCCCCAAGGATCCAAGCTGGGAGCCCTTCACAAACATCAGACAAGCTCATCTCCATGGGGTGCCAGGGCCAGGATGTGTGTGACAAGAATGTCGCTTTCATGCATCACTGTTTGTCCCCAGGGCCTAGCACAGGGCCAGCTACACAGTAGGGGCTTGTTTGTTGAATGAAGAAATTCATCTGGCACTACTCATAACTAAAGAACTGCAGTTTTATATTGATTTTTAAAAAATAAAAAGCATCCACAGTTATCCCTTTCCTCCTTCAGACCTTTTGCACATACTGTTCCTTACGCCTGGCATGCTTTTCCCTCTGCTTTTTGCAAGGTCAGCGCCTTCTCATCCTCTAGCTGCAGCTCAGATAAAGCTCTTCAAGGCAGCTTTGGGGGCCAGCTTTTACCACCCCACCCCAGCTAAGGTAGCCCCCATTCCCCAGCCCCTGTAACTCAGCACTCTGTCGATTTCCTTTGTGGCACTTATTGTCATCGGAAATCTTCTCACTTAATATGGATCCTTATTTTTTTATTCCCTGTCTCTCTCCCAAGAATGTAAGTTTCAAACGAGCTTCTTGATCGTTGTTGTATCTCCAGGGCCTGGTACTTAGCTGATGCTCCATAAATAGTTGTTAAATAGATAAAGAGCTGAACAACTGAGTTCCTATAATAATGTCATTCACACCCCAAGATCCTCAATCTGCTTCCTCGAAGAGAACAAAAGGGAGACTCACTCTTGCTCTGGGGACTTCAAGCCCCGACTCTCAGTGAGGAGCTAGTCCCGATCATTGTGACATTGTGACGACCGCAAATCATTTTAGGGCTTTGCTTCCCCCACGACAGCTTCTAAGGTTCACAAAAATCTGGGCTTGCACAGAAGGGGAGGCTGGACGTGGGAATGTCCACCGTCTGTCCAGCATGCTGCAGTGGACACTGGGATGGACAGGGCTGGTTCCATCAAACCTACCCATTTCAAAGGTGGAAGAACCAAGGCCCAGAAATGCCAGGGTCACACACACATCAATCCACAGCTTTGCCAGCAGAGAGCTCAATGGAGCTGCAGATTCCTCGAGTCCTGAGATTGGTTCATTCATTTAATGAGTATTCATTGAGCTCCTCTTATGTGTCTGACGCTGTGCTAGGAACTGGGGATCCAGCAACGGCTAAAGACTCAGAGACTCACAGGAATTAAGGGAAAGACCGAGCCGACCAGACACGGAGCTACTTCAGTGACCTTGAAAGCAATCCGCGCTTGGCTTGGCCTGTGTGAGAGCTGGGCACGGGGTCGCGGGGGAAGAACTGTAGAGTCTGAGCAGGGAGGAGGGGGAGAGCGGATCTGGGGCTGGACAAAGAGAATCCAAAATGGAGCAAAGTGTTGACTACGGCTGAGAAGCCAGCTTAGCGGGGGTAGTGCCCCTGCTTCTGTGCCTGCCGTTGTCAGCTGGGGTCAGGTTGGTGCCCAGAAGCTCAGGGCCTTCAGGTGGAGCAGTTTGTGCCATCTCAACAGTGTGGGACCCAGTCACCAGAGAAGGCCGAAGCCACTCATTCGCTCAGGAAACTCATGTTCATCACCTGCTGTGTGCCAGACCCTGTGCTGAGCCCTGGAGCTACCAAGGTGAAGGAGACACAGCCCATCCCTAAAAGTCCCCAGGACACAGACATGCAGACAGGCCATTGCAGCCCTGAGATCCTGGCCACCTCGGGGCAGCACAGATCAGCAAGGAAACCGGCTAGCAGTGCCTTTCCAACGCCTCTTCCGCCTACATCAGTGATATTGGGGACCACGAGAACATCGTGAGGCCAAACACAGCTGAGTCAGGTCTCAGCTCCACCTCTAGGTCAACATGTGACCATAAGCAAGTGACTTGATGTCTCTGAACCTCAGCCCCCTCATCTGTAAAACAAGGCTAATAAGAGTCTCTGCTTTCATGGTGCCGTGGGAATTTGACGAAACAAGCACACGGCAGGAATGGTAAGCCAACACGGGCTTCACTTCTGGGTCGGAACTGTGCGCCCTCAGATAGCTGTGGCCGACCGTCACAAGTACCTCCATTCAATGTCACAAGCTCCAGTCTTGGATGGAGTCAGTCAGTCATGGGACAAACATGTACAGAGCCCAGGGCCTCGCATGGGGGAGCAAAACCAAATGAGACCCAGCCCCGACCCAGGAGTGGCTCACTATCCAGGGCGGAGCTGATACGGTAATAAACTCATAACAACATGGGATCGATGTTATCACAGATGGAGTCCAGGCACAGGAGACACGTCTCTGAGGTGGCCTCATTTACACCTCACAAAGGCCCTTTACAAAGTACACACTGTTATCTCCATTTTACTGATGAGGAAACCGAGGCTCTGAGAGCCAGATTCACTTGCCCAGGGTCACGTAACCTTGTCTGTCTGCCCATCTCCAGAGCCCCACGCTCTGCCTTCACAAACACCCCGCACACCACAAATCCTGTTTCTCCAAAGTCCCGCACAAACGTTGGCTCATTCAGTCAGTGACCACTCGCTGCATCCCCGCTACGTGCCAAGCCTGGACCTGGGGGGAGCTGAACAGGACATGGCCCCTGCCCTACCTCCAGCCAGCACAGAGGTAGATTTGGGGCTTCTTGGGGCTCTGCACTGAGTCTTCTTGGTGACAGCGATGGAGCACTTTTGGGCACTGGTCTGGCCTTTCCCCCATCACAGCTTGCATAAAGCTGCTGGGAAAGGCCCAGGGAGGAAAGCTGTGACAGCTTCAGGCCCCCAGGGCCACCATGTCCGCTCAGCCTGGCTCTGACTCACCGCTCACACCTGGCGCTGGCCTCAGGCAGCCACGCTGCTGGAAATAGACCCGGGGTGAGAGCAGGAGCAGGGGAGGGCAGGGAGGGGTGGGGGGGGGGGGGGCCCGGGCAGGGAGGTGGCACCTGCACGCATGGCTGCTGTTCCTACCCTCCCCGCCAGGAAGCAGAGAAATGTCATCCAACAGAACCCACCTGAGCTAGCCGGACTCGCAAGTGCTCCCAGGAGTTGAAGACCCCGGCCTACTTGGGAGGCTGTCCAGGAGCAGAGAAGGTTACAGTAAAAATAATGGTGATGTCTCACTTCCCAGAATGCTCGGGGCTTACCCAGGGCTTGCTG